ATGTGGAAAGGTATTTATTTTCTTTATTTACTAGAGCAAGCATTTTGTTATCTCATCATTAAACTGGTCTATAGAGTGTGTTGTGATCTGAGCTCAAATTTCAACCCTGGGGAAGGAAGAACCCACATGAGCAAGGTTGTACTAAGCAGGCCCACCTATAGATTCACTGTTGTCAGACTTAGGCACCTGCTACAAGGCAGGGTCTGTTGTGCTGCCTCTGAGTACCTTTAGGTGATATGCCTCAGCAAGTTCCTAAGGAATCTCCATTGCTTTAAGTTCACTGCTCAGGAAGGGGAGGATGGTGTATACTCTTAAGAGGAGTGAAAGCTCCATAACTGGATATATGTCTGAACACTGCAGAGACAGAATCACAGCACAAAGAACTCTACCCTTAGGAGAGGGGTCGCTCAGGCCCCTACTCTAGGTGATTGGTTGTGTAGGGTGTGGAGAGCAGGGGACCTCTTTGCACAAATATTGGTGCCCAAGGAGGGTAAGGTGGCCTAGGCTACTAATCCAGGAGTGTAGAAATGGAGAAAATGGGGACTATCTGATTCTTTTTACCGGAAGTAGGGTGTGGCATACTTTTTCAACAGACCACAGAGGAAGGCTATGACCACCTGCAATGACACCTGCAGCCCGATTCTGGGTCACAGAGTTGACCTTGGCCTCACTCCCTAGGAGAAACCCTAGGATCAGGAACTGTTCTACTTCTCAGGCTGCTGATTCGAATGCAGAAGTTTGAGGTCCCTCCTGTTGATTTCCTGCCACTTACTCAATTGTATAGCAGTAGGAGCATTCTTTTTCCTTAGTATTACTTGGTCTCACTACCCCAACTAATCTGGGAGGGTAGCTGGCACTCTTAGCAATGGTGCCAGCTGAACAGTTCCAGACTGCAAAATTGATGTTGGCCATGAGACCTACTGTTTATGAGAAGCTGCTCTACATCCTTCTGCTTAGGATGCAAGTTCCAAAGTATGGGTGGGAGACACTTGTTAAGCTCCTGTCATTTAGCCTGCTAGTCTAGATGTTCTTTGTTATTGCTGGGTCCCTTGCCACAACTACCCAGAGGAGAGGGACTAGACTGGATACCCGGGAATTGACGTACAAAGACTGATTCCAGGTCGCAGACCTGACCCTGGCAATCTGTCTCTCTTTCTAGGAGAAAAGGGTTTCTTTTGGGGGGTTCCATAACTGCCTCCAGCCTGTGGTTGGGCCCAGCCCAAGTTTAGCTCCAAATTCTGTGGAGATCTCCAAGCTCCCTTCGTTGGTGTAGCTCTGCGGACTCCTCCCCCACTGCAAGAGAGTAGCCTTGTCTCTGGGCTGAAACCAAAATGACTGAAGCTGTGGCTGTTGTTGATACTGGTGAAAAGGTAAAAACTGATGTCTTCTTCACTGACCCAGATTTGGGAGAACACTTACATCTTTACTGGGTATCTTTCTATCTCACCAGCTCTCAGCCTCATCCTGACATAGCTCTAGGACCTGGGAGAAATGAGGTGCTCTCCCATGGACTGGGATAAGCAAATCCCAAATTGAAAGTTAAGTCTCAGAGGGGAGTTTTCAGTCCCATCTTCTCCTCTCTGAGATCTGGCGTACCCATTGTCATTCCAAAGAATATTCATTTTCCTTGTTGAATTGAGGTTCACTATGTTGATCTTTCCAGACTGTATCACAATGTTCCCATAGATAAGACACATTTGAAAGTCTCTAAACTGCTGTTTTGAAAAAAAACAAAAAAGCTCCCCAAATCTCATGACCTTTATTAATTTATTGTTCAGTATTTCTTGTCCTAGCAATCAATGCCATTAATAAAACATACGATACCACTCATTTTTTCACTGTTTTATTGTTCCATTTTACATTTTTTATTACTTCCAAAAAGAGACACATGCTTTTCCCTGTCTTCAAAGGAACTTTTTTCTCTCTTTCTTTAGAAAGCATGTTTATTTTTGATGTTTAAAATTTCATTGCTAGGCGCAGTGGCTCAAGACTGTAATCCCAGCACTTTGGGAGGCCGAAGCAAGAGTATTGCCTGAGCTCAAGGGTTCAAGACCAACCTGGGCAACATGGTGAGACCTCATCTCTACAAAAATCGAAAAGTTAGTCGGGTGTGATGGTGCATGCCTGTAGCTCCAGCTACTTGGAAGGCTGAGATGGAAGGATCGCCTGAGCCCAGTAGGTCAAAGAAGGCTACGGTGGCCATGAGTGTGCCACTGCACTCCAGCCTGGGTGACAGAGTAAGATTCCAGCTCACAAAATAAAGTAAAATAAAATAAAATAAATTGTTGTTATATTAAATCACATTTATCTCTTTTAAAATTCAGTTTCGATGGGCAACATGGTTGGTTCCAATTTTAAATGAAGATCTACTGTGGGTATGGGTAAAGTTCTATCAGATAGTACTGCATGCAGCAGAAAAATCTTTCATAAAAGGAAAAGTTAATTGGTTGACAAACTTAAATCATTGTCTTATTTTGCAAAATTGTAACAGCTACTTCAGCCTTCAGTAACCACGGCCCTACCCTGGTCAGCAGACATCAACACTGAGGCAAAATCCTTCATCAGCAAAAGATTACAACTTGCTGAAGGCTCAGATGACCTTTAGTATTTTTAGCAATAAAGTATGTTTAAATTAAGACAGGCACATTGCTTTTTTAAAATATATAATGCAATTGCACACTTAAGAGACTGTGGCATGGTGTAAACATAACTTTCAGATGTACTCGTTTCATGATCCATTTTCTGTTGCTTGTAACAGAGTACCTGAAAATGAGTAATTTATAAATAACAGAAATGTATTTCTTTCTTTTCTTTTCTTCTTCTCTCTCTCTCTCTCTTTCTTTCTTTCTTTTTTTCTTTTTTTTGAGTAAGGGTTTCACTCTGACACCCAGGTTGGAGTGCAGTGGCCACTGTATTTACTGCCACTGCAGTCTCAACCTGCTGGGTTCAGGCGAACCTTCTGACTTAGCTTTCCACGTAGCTCAAATTATAGGCATGTGCTACCAGGCCTGGCTAATTTTTTTGATTTATTGTAGAGACAAAGTCTCACCAAGTTGTCCAGGCTGGTATCAAATCCCTGGGCTCAGGCAATCCTCTAGCCTCTGCCTCTCAAAGTGCTGGCATTACAGGCGTGAGCCACCACACCCAGCTAGAAACTTACTTCTTACAATTATGTAGGCTGAACTGGCCAAGGTTGAGGGGTCACATCTGGTAAGAGCCTTCTTGCTGGTGGAGGTTCTCTGCAGAGTCTTGTGAAAGAGCAAGATCTCACATGGCAAGGGAGCTGAGTGTGCTAGTTCAAATTTCTCTTTTTATAAAGCCACCAGCCACTCTCCCATAATAACCTATCAGTTTAACCTGCTAGTCCCTTAATACATTAGTCAATAAATTGATTAATATATTCATGAAGACAAAACTTTTATGATCTAATCATCTCTTAAAGTTGCCAACTCTCAATACTAAATACTCAATACTCATACTCAAAATTCAATACTGGGGGTTTACTTTCAATACGAGTTGGGGGGGGACAAACATTCAAACCATAATAACTGAAACAAAATGTGTGTGACTCAGGTTATTGTGACACTCACTTTATTACAGTGGTCTGGAACTGAATCTGTGATATCTCTGACGTATGCTTGTATTTAACTTGCACATTTTCAGAAATTTACATTTAAGGTTTGTGTGATATAACTAAAAGATAAAAGAGTCAGATGAAGCATTTAACTTTATATTTTTAAGCCTGTGCTTAATATCTTATCCCTTGTATCCTTTGTATTGTTTAAGATGTCTGACAAAATGTGAAATAAAGAGAAAATTTATAAAAGATAATAAATTTTCCATTCAATATAATGTTATTCTAGTGATAATCAGAAATTTATGTATAATTTGACTAAAAAATGAGGGATAAAAATTTTCAATTAATAATAGCATTCACACCAAATACCTGTATAGACTTAGTGGTGTGAGCGATTTCACAATACAGTTTGTATGGGTACAAGATTTATGATGAGGGTGCTGTAAATTGAATTTTATAATAATACAAGCTATTTTTATTAACCACTTATGTGTGCCAAGCACTGTATTTAAGTGTATTATGTTTACAACATAAATTATTCATTAATAATATCATATTTTGTAGAAACTGTTATAGCCCTTGATTTTTCAGGTGACGAAACTGAGACATGGAGATTATTGCATAACCCTCAAGATGACACAGTTGGTACATGAGAAATTCACCATTCACTTTGAAGCAAGCAATTCCACAATTAGATTTTCACTACCTGTATCTATGGCCTTTGTAACATAGATATACAAAAATTGGCAAAGGAGAAAATATAGAGAAAAAAAATCTTGTACAGAGAGCAGTGTGACCAAAGGTTCATAGATCTGAATCCAGAGGTTAAGCATTCAATGAGCCTAGAACCTGTAGTCAGTGAAAAGGAATAGGAGAGATAAACCTGAAGATAAAGTGCACAATGCCAAGTTGTCATGCATTAACTTAGGTATTTAATATGGATCAACTACAATTTTTATCTAAAAAAGTAATAATCCATTGAATTTGACTGTAAAATTTCACTTAGAGGGATATAAAATGTATCTCTTTGTATGCCCTGTATAAATGAAAATACTGGGCTGTTTTTGCCCACACCTCTGCGCATTTCTGTATTCAAGTTTCTATCCACGTCACTTTTCTTGGGCTGACATTCTCCTAGATAAGAGTCTAGATGTTTTGTCTGCAGTCTTAGAAGATTCAGTCCCATGGTGCCAATTATAGACGAAGATCAAATTAACTCAGTTTTCTCAAGGCAGCTAGAGCCTTGATATAAAACTGTTCTCATTGGACCGTGTAACACTGACAAGGACATAGAGTTGTGCTACATGATATTCTTCTTGAGTCTATTTCTGTAGAAGAATAAAACCGGAGAATTTTCTCACGACTTAGACTGTATTACATTCAAATGAATGAGGAATGATCAAAGGTGGCTTAGAATGCTGCAATGAATATTCCTCAGGTAGGGCAGTTTTTGAATCTGACAGAAGGATAAAAGTCTTTTGTCATTCTTAACTGGAGACTGAATAACCCAAAACATCTTTAGACAAACAAAGGAATTTAAATATGTACTACAAAGTAGTTTCTTGATAAAATATATTTCTACCTTTCTTACAGGTTGTGTGAAATAAGATAGACTTTTGTGGAACTGTTTAAGTCTGAGGTGAGCAGTGGCATATTGCTGAGACTGTGCTTCCAGAGGTGACCACAGGATGGGTAACAGGATGTCCAGAGGGCTTCTTCTTCACCACAGTCCTTTCACTGGGCAACATCTTTTACCTGTACATATCAGTACACAAACACTCATGCACACACACACACACACACACACACACACACACACACACACACACACAAACACACACCCTAAGGAAATCGTGACAAAATACACCTTGTTTATTTTGTCTCTCTCATTTCGTTTTCTCTCTCTCTTTATCTCTCTATCTCTCTCCTTTGAATGGATATGATATTTGTATTTTATTTTTCCTTGATATATTTCCCAACTTGATATATTGGCAGAAATATGGAGGTATATAAGTGATATAACAGGAGTCTCTGCTACAAGTGAGAGGCCTGCAGAAGTTCTATTTATTATATTATCATTTTATTATTATTAGCACTATATGTGCTAGTTCTGTAGCAGGGGTAAAGGCAGCAAGCATTCTCAGAGGAACTGACATAGAATGAAGAAGAATGGAGCTTTTAAATACATGAGAATCCACCACCACCATAATACTTCAAAATGAACTGTCAGGAAATGGATTGATATTGGGAAAATAATTTTCATAGGTACAAGTGTTCAGGCTTATTTATTTATTTTCCTCTGAGATCTTTCTTGTGTGAGGGAGGTACGCTACCCAGCCTGTGTTTGCTCCTGATAGGCATCCCAGAGTCGCTGTGTTTTTGTTATATTTTTATCTCGAATTTTCTCTTTCTCATTTTTTATAGGATATTAGGCTTGTTCCTGACAATTTCACTGTATCAAAAAATGATTAATGAATCATTTGAAGAACTTTAGCAATATCCAATTGCAGACATGTATCGAATCTCTGAGCCTGTTACTTTACTTTCTAATATGTCTGTCTCCTTTTGAATTATGTTTGCATTTCCCGTGCGTGCAACCTTAACTTTTCATGTGTCCCTCTTTAATCCAGGGAATCACAAAGGATACAAGGCATACTAAAATATTCCATTCTTAATATCAAATTCTATGTCATGGAATTCTGAAAATTTTAATGCAAAAGGTTTACATTATATTATAATTATATAAAGATTCAATTTTTTAGATGGATCTATTCAAATCTATTATCTCATTTAGATTACAAAATATATCAACAGGATCATGTAACTAGCAAATCTTTTTATTTTTTTTTCCTTTACATCTACTGAATGAAACACTCATCTAGTAATTTTCATTCCAAACTATTATTCAACTTTGTTCTTCTCTCCCCTGGTCCCTCTTCTAGGAGTGGCAACAGTCATTTGGAAGGATATTTTATTATAACAGGAGCTTTTTTCACCCAGCAACATTTTTCCTTGTTGGAATCCCAGGTCTGGAAGACATCCATGTCTGGATCTCCCTGCCTTTCTTCTCTGTTTATCTTGTGGCTTTGTTGGGCAATGTCACCATTCTGCTAGTCATCAAGGCAGAGCAGACCCTCCGGGAGCTCATGTTCTATTTCTTGACCATTCTTTCAACAATTGATTTGGCTCTTTCTACAACCTCTGTGCCCCGCATGCTGGGTATCTTCTAGTTTGATGCTCATGAGATTAACTTTGGAACTTGTGTGGCCCGATGTTTCTGATCCATGCTTTTACTGGCATGGAGGCTGAGGTGTTATTGGCCATGGCCTTTGACTGTTATGTGGCAATCTGTGCTCCACTCCACTACACGACTATTTTGACATCCCGGGTCCTGGAAGGCATTAGCGGGTGCACTGTAATTCGTCCAGTTTTGCTTACACTTCCCATGATCTATCTTATCTACCACTTACCATTTTGTCAGGCTCATATCATAGCCCATTCCTACTGTGAGCACATGGGCATTGCAAAATTGTCCTGTGGAAACATCCGTATCAATGCTATCTATGGGGTTTTTGTAGTTTCTTTCTTTGTCTTGAACCTGGTCCTTATTGGCATCTCATATGTTTATATTCTCCATGCTGTTTTTAGCCTTCCATCTCAGGATGCTTTCTTGAAAGCTCTAAGCACGTGTGGCTCTCATGTTGCAGTCATCTGTGTTTTCTATATACCCTCTGTCTTTTCTTTCCTTACTCACTGGTTTGGACACAACATACCACGCTTTATCCACATTCTTATTGTCAATCTTTATTTGGTTATCCCACCTTCTCTCAACCCCATCATTTATGGTGTGAGAACAAAACAGATATGAGAGCAAGTGCTCCATGTGTTTAACAAAAAAATGAGACTGTTACTGTGTTCTTTTACTAAGGATTTTGATTCTTCTAGGAAGACTCAAGTCTCATATATTCTTGCTTTAGGAAAAACTCGTGGTCCTTATCTTATTTTTGTCAATTTCCAATACAAACTGCTTTATTCCTGGCTGCTGATGAATGGAGCTTAAGATTGTTGGAAATTAATGAGCTATCCTTGAAGGGATATCCTGGGACGGAGCTGTGTGACTTCTGCCTGTATAACCTCTTGCAGAGCCTTGCAAGGCTGCTGCTTTTCTGGAAAAGAAGTGTACACGTTGTATCTTTTGTGATCTGTCATTAGAGATATGTGCCACGGGAAATTTGATCCCATAAGCTATTTCTTTTATTCCTTTACTCTTTCTCTCCATGTTTCCTTTTTCCTTACTTGTTTTTATCTTTTCCTCTTCCTTTTATTTTTCTTTCTCTCATAATTATTCATTGATATATACATGCATTTGATTATTTCTTTAGTTTACATTCATTTAATGCCTGACTCCGTGGAGTTTGCATTTGGTGGGCTTTTATAAAGTCAAGTTCGTGGGTTCAGAACAATCATTGCCAATCTGTAGCTTTTGTCTTTTCTTTTTTTTAGAAAGCAGGATTTATTAAGAGGACAGAAAAGCACACATAGTGGGAGGTGACCTGAGGGGGTTGCCCCAAATCTGTAGCTTTAAGTAGAATCATTTGCCAAATGCATTAGACTCAATGCAATACCTGAAACAAGCACACAATTTCAAGACAATTTCTCATTAATACCAACATAGCTTATCACGGATTGCCTCTCTGTCTTCAGGCCTATAGCATAAGCAGACATGTAGTCTTATTGTAATCTAGTTACTTATAGTATTTCTATTTATGTGGTATATGTTGGCCTTTGCCTTTCTTTTTATCCAGTTTTGTTTTCTCAATTTACTTTAACCCTAAAATACTCCATTCTAAAATCTGTAGCCTCTCTATCCATGGCCTACCTCTCATTCTCCCACAGACATTAATGCAGGCTGTTATACCAAGCTCTATGTAGCCACATTTCACATGAGATTAAAGGCTTTCAACTGATTTATTAAGATTTTCAAAGACCAAGCAATTAATGACATTTTGTATCATCAAACTTGCCACATCACTTTTAAAAATTGTACTCACTTTATTTTTTTCAGGTTATTTTGAAAATAAACTAAAACAAAAATATAAAAATGTCTTTGTTCCTACAACCTCAAATTCATAACCTTTTATATTACACTTATCTCAAAGATAATGCTTTAATTAAATATACACAGCATTAAAGTTAAAATCACCTTTATACTTCCCTGACATGTTTCTATCCCATTTTTCTAGTGACAAACTCTAGCATTTATTTTTTCTGATTTCACAGTACAAACTTTTAGTTTTACGGTCAGTCGCAGTACTTATGTGTGATCATTTGGCTTTAATTTATATAGATTATAGTACTTTTGTAACATTCATTTCATTTATGTATTCATCTTCTAATAGATCATTCATCTTGTTTTTTAATAAGAAAATATGCTTCACATCCTTTTCTATATTTCTGTGAACATTTTAAGTTAATTTATCTAGGATTTATGCTTAAGTAGAGTCATTAGCTATCAGGTTTCTAATAATTCAGAATATAGCTTTTCTTTTTGATCATTGTTATTTTATATACTTTCTAATTTTATGTTCCCTGTTACTCTCTTTTTTTCTCTTTTATACTAAAAAAAATTAATTTAGCTTCTCCTGAAAAAATCCTTTCCCCAACTGATGTTTGAAGATGGTGTATTCTATATCTCTTCTACTGAATATTATAAATTTATTAAAATTGTAATTTTCCTTATTTTATCTTTTTGTTTTGTAACAAAACCAACTGAAATTTTCAATTTAAAACTTTTATACATCGAAGGACACTATTAATATATTGAAAATTCAACCATGTAAGTGTAAATTAGTACAGCCATTATGAAAAAAAGCATGTAATATTTTCAAAATATTAAAAATAATCCTGCTTATGAGAATATACAACAAAGGAAATTAAATTATAATGTCAAAGATATATCTGTATTCCCATTTTATTGCAGTATTTACACAATAGCCAATATATGGAATCAACCTAAGTGTCCACCTATGAATGAATGGACAAAGAGAATATGGTAAAGAAAATGTGTTATATATACACAATGAAATACTATTCAGTCATTAAAAAGAATAACATTCTGTCATTTGATGATAAATAAACTCAAAGACATTGCATTAAGAAAAATAAGCCAGGCACAGAAAGACAAATTCTGTATCATCTCACTTATATGTGAAGTCTAAAATAGTTGAACTCAAAGAGGCAGACAGCAGAATGGTTATTGCCAGAAACTGAGGATAAGGGTGGGACGATGGTCACTATGTTGCACAGTAGATCTCTTGAATTTATTACCCCTATCTAAATGAAATTTTGACCAATATTATCCCAACTCCTACCAGCAAACTTTCCAGACCGTGGTAACCACATTCTACACTGTAGCTTTATGAGGTAAACATTTTTTATATTCTACAAATGAATAAGAATGCAGTATTTGTATTTCTGTACCTGGCTTATTTAACTCAACATAATGTTCTTCAGGTTCGTTCATGTTGTTGTAAATAGAAGTTTGTTTTTTTATATGGCTGAATAGTTTCCATTGTGTATATAAACCACATTTTGTTTACCCATTCATCCCCTGGTTGTGGCAATAATGATTCCCCAGGTGTCACAGGTGTCAGAATTTCTCAAATTTAACAAACAAAATTTGTAAATACCATTGTATTATACCGTGTAAAAAACTATTATGAATTTTAAAAACTCAACTTAAAATAACAGAAAGAAAGCAATGTCAAATAGACAACAGCTGAGATCACTTTGTGCCAACAGTGCTGTACTACTAGAAATAGTAAAAGGAGGTGCTCTGGATTAAAGATATATTCCATGGGCAGATACAGGATTGTAGGAAGAGATGACAGGTATTTTTTAAAGTCAAAATAGAAAATAGCTATATTTAAATTCGTAACTAGGAAAAAACCTATTTATTTGAGAAAGTGAAGATGTAATAAATGCAGTTATTACCAAATTCCTTCAAAGACTGACAATCCACATAAAGATAGGAATCATCTTCTTACTATTCCCAAATTCTCCTCACTACTGAGCTCCCTAAGGAATTTTCAATCAAATGTGTATCATATTTGAGACCCATCCATACTATTGAAATTTAGAAATTAGAGTTTCAAAATCCCAATGCTGGGGTGTACTTATGCACAAAAATGTTTGAGAAAAAGTTATCTTTGAGATAGATGTTTACCGTGATTGCTCTGGTATATATTTTTAAAGAGATGTAATTCCAATTTGGAGGTACTAAATGTTTGTGTATCGTGGCATATGTTTGATTGAAGTAAGTGCATATTAGCCCAGTCCCTGTGAGAGTCAAAGGTAAAATATCCATTTGACTGTTTTCTTTTTAGTAAGTCTTATATGTCCAATAGAATACCCCAAAACACTTAATGTCAATAGTCTTGGCTGGTCAGTATTGATCCAACTATTATTTACAAAGCTTGATTCTGGAAATCAATACTTTTTATGTTGAAATGATTTTAAATAATCACAAAAAATGTTACCATAGTACCTAGAATTCCAATGTATGCCTTCAAGCAGATCATTGAAGAAAAAGGAGTAGCCCTGAATTTATCACTGTATTACCTATCCATTTGAGGAGTGGGTATTTGCTTTTCCCCCAGACATTAAAGGAAATGATTCTAATTAGAACATCGTGATCAATTTTTAAAGTTAGAATAATGCTTTAATTATTTTTTTGGATTTGTATTGAGATAATTATGGATTCACTTGCAGTTGTAATAATCAGGGATTTTTTTGTATGCTTGTTCAGTTTCTCCCAATGATAATAATTTGCAGAAATATAAGAATAAAAATTTTGAAATTGACATAATTCATCTGAGTTTTTTTGTTCAGATTTTCCCAGTTTGTGTGTGTGTGTGTGGGTGTGTGTGTGTGTGTGTGAATGCACGTGCATACACACACACGAGAGTGTACAAAGTTCTATGGAGTTTTGTTGTCTGTCTAGATTGTGTATCTACCACTATAGTTTCATAATATGACGAGTTCCAAAAACACAAAGATTCCTCTTATTGTTCTTTTATAGTCACCCCCATAATCATCCCTCATTCCTACCACTGGCACTTACTAGCCTGTCATGCTTTTCCAATTTTCTTCTTTGGAAAAATATTATATAAATGGAATCACACATTATGTAACTTTGGGGCAGCAATCTTGTCAATCAGTATAATTTTGCAGAAATTTATCCAAACTGTATGTACCAATAATTCACGCATTTTTATTGACGTGTCAGTATGCCATAGTACATATAAGTCATAATAAGTATTCACCTAATGAAGGACATTTGTGCTAATTCCAGTTTCTATCAAATGAAGTTGCTGTGATTATTCTTGTACTGGCTTTTGTGTAAACATGTTTTTATTTCTCTCAGATAAATGCCCAAGTGTGTCGCTACTGGATCATACGGTAACTGTACATACAGTTTTATAACAAACTGCAAACTGCTTTTCAAAGTGTCTGTAATGTTTTACCTTCTTACAAGCAATGTATTTGAGATCCTAATTCTTTTCGTACTAACTAAAATTTGGAATTGCCATTTTGTGTTACCTATTCAGACAGATGTAGAATGATTGATATCTGAGTTTTAAATATGTATTTCCTTGAAGAATAATGATATCGAACAACTTCTGTTATGCTTATTTGCCATCTATTTATCTTCTTCACAGTATGTTCTTCTGTTTATTTTGCTGTTACCTTTTGATACCATCTTATAATTGTCAGCATCAGGTTGTGTAGCCATTTTAAGTTTATATATGCTTATTTCATTTGCTAATAGTATTGCACTTTTAATTTTGGCTTCTATGTGTTTAGTATTGGAAAATGCAAATGTAGTTAATTTTTATGTGTTTGTTTTAATTCCTTGAGATTTTCTATGTAGACAATCATATCTTCTGCAAATAGAGATAGTTTCACTTGCTTTTCCATTTATATGTATTTCATGTCATTTACTGGCCTTACTACACTGGCTAGAATTTCAGTACTTTGTTGAATAAAATCTGAATAGGA